CGCCGGGGGTGGCAGTGTGTCAACAGCTGTCGCGGCCATCGTTCGACAAAACGGAGTCGGATAAAAAGGGGAGCTGGAGCGGCTGCTACGATGTCTCTACATTTTGTGCCAGAGGGGGGCCGAGTATGATGTCCATCAGTTTACAGATGATGGAAGTTGACGGACTGTCAACTCTCAGATTCAGCCAGTCTACTGCAGATACATTGAAGATTCCAGCAAAAAGAACCACTTGGCGGTTAGCTAATTCCTTCACCAGATGGAGGAGCGACTAGCCAGCTGCACTCGGAAGGTTGGGCGGTTTTATGAATCACCAAGAGGCCTAGGTCTTGTGAATCGTTCTTGTTTATTCTTATCCAGACGGAATCACTTTCAAGGCGGAGTGTGCGCTCGTCCAGCTGCCGAAAGTCTTGTTTTTAAATAATCGACTATCCCACCGCCCTGTCTATTTTGACGTCATTCCGAAAGAGCTGGCACCCTTATGTCGAAATCTCTGTATCTGCGATTTCTGCTTCGAACCATGTTTTCGTTATGGCAAGGACATCGGGGTTTCCATCTGACACTAACGCCTTGATTCCGTTGATCTCCGAAACGAGACTTTGAGCACTAGCATAAAAAATCTCTCAACGGTTTGAGTAATTCCGGCATTCATGCGTCTGTGAACTTTGAAGGATTGAGTGCGAAAGCCTTTCAGTGTTGTTCGTGACAGGTCGTTGTCCACTATGCTGAGCTGTTCAGGTAACAGACTTTCTCCGGCAAAATGACCTCTGGGCATGTATAATTTTCTCGTTCAGTGCTTTGAGATTGTTTTCGCCTGGGCTGGAGCTTCTAAGGAGTTCCGCTTTGACCCCTTTCCATTTCTATTTCACGGCGGACGGGAAATTCCGATTAAAACTGCTGAGTGAGCACTCCGGAATGCAAATTTCCTAATCAGCAGTAACGGCTCTGGCCAGCCCTAATCATCTTCTGGGTCTTCTACCTGGCCCATCCTATAAACTTTCGGTGCGGTTATTTCGTCGTCTCCTTTTAAGGTGGATATGAGTTATTTATGGAATATTCCTATGTTATGGTGTGTTGATGTAAAGAAGATGAACACACGATCTTTGGAACAGTAGGTGTTTAAGTCGGAGCTTTCGGTCTCTTGCAGGATGCCATGGTCAGATACTGAGAATGCAGCAGCAAATAAGCAGTTTTTTAGTCAAGCCATGAAGGGGGGGATATGAGTTCAGAGGGTGGTATTCGCAATAAGTTGAATCCCACGCCGTCTCACGGCGACGTGACTGCGTGCACCCTTGGCTGGAAATTGGGTCTCGCCTCTTGGCCGCGGGAACGGAGCGCGTGACAGGAGGGGGGGAGGGGAGTATATCAACGTGACTGTTGATAGAGTTGGTGTCAGACACCCAGGCCTCCAGCAGTTCTCGCCCTGTCTTATTGCTGGCCCGCGCTACTATGCTCGTGCTCGCGAAGTTGAATTCGTGGCCTTCCTCCAGGGTGTGAGTGGCGATCTGAGACAACGGGTCGCCTCTCCAGACCGCCAGTTTATGCTCCGTTATTCGTGAGATAAGTCGTCGTCCGGTCTATCCTGTGTAGTGGCGAGGGCAGTCCCGACATGGGGTCGGATAAACGACACCTGATTGTTCTTCCACATCTATTCGACCCTTTGCTCGCAGGATTTTGTTGCGCATGGTCACTGTCAGACGGTGAGCGATACCCACGCCGAGCTCTCCAGCGATACGTTCCATCGCTTCGGACACGTTCTTTATATATGGCAGAGGGTGCCAGAGTGTTGACGGCTCTCATCCGTTTGTTCACCGTGGGTGCGTGCGGAGGCAGCGGCTGACGAAGCTCTCCGGGTGTCCATTCCTTGCCAGTTGGTCCCGAAGATGCCGAAGTTCTCGCGCTCGTCCCTCTGGCTCACTGCAGTGCGTTTTTATCCTTTGGTAGAGTGTCCTAACTCAGCTGAATTTATGCGTCATTGGGTGGTTACTGTGATAGTTGAGAATCTGAGTCGTGCTAGTCACCCTTCTGTGCACGGTAGTGTTGAGTTCGCCGTTGGGTGTGCGTGTGACAAGAACGTCAAGGAAAGGCAGCTGTTCGGTATGCTCTTCTTCCCTTGTGAACTGAATGTCGGGGAAGATGCCGTTAAGCAGGTCTTGAAAGTCGGCCACTCTGCTCCTTTCAGTTATAACGAACATGTCGTCCACGTACCGGCGCCAAAATGCAGAAACTCAGTTTATCGCGAATACCACCCTCTGCACTCATATCCCCCCCCCATCATGGCTTGACTACAAAAACTGTTCATTTGTTGCCGCATTCTCAGTCTCTGACTCTGGCCTCCTGTACGAGACCGAAAGCTCAGACTAATGCATATACTGTCCCAGAGATCGTGTGTCCAGCTTCTTTACAACAAGAACCTGGGATTCGCCTATTCGCTTCCATCCATGATCTGTTGTGCTCTTCAGGTTGTTAGAAGCAGACTCAGGCGCAGTCTTTACTGCTATCCGGTCAATAGCTTAGTGGTGCATACTTACGTGTAGAGACTTCATTAAGGATATACCATTTATCGCCTCCTTCCCGTTTAGAGAGGTTTGCTGTGATACAGCCAGCGCATGGTCCTGCGTTTACTACGGCCTCATGATCATTGTTGATCTTCGGGGCACAGTTCTTTTCCAGTATAATTAATTTCTGTTCCCTAATCTGACCGTTTCTGTCTTTTCAGGATGCTCTGAAATATTTTTGTTCTCAGGGATCTCGTCTGGTCGCCCTTTCTCTCACCGATGGTTCGACCGCCGTTGCCGACGATATCCGCGTCTGCCACACAGCAAGGTTGATTAGGGATGGTGACTTGGGCGTGAATCAGTTTATAGTGATAATGGACTTATGCTGCATCTACCACACTCTCTCCTCCCCGACCTGAACCGGGTGTTAGGACATAATCAATAAGACCAGAGGCCGGGGAGGACTTTGGTGGGTAGCACAGTCGAGCTCACACCTTGGCGTCTCACTTCACACCCCCTGGTCCACACAGCAAATGACCTAGGTTTTAACCAACAACAAAGAGATGGCTGGCACGGCCGGATCCGCACTTAGGCGTGCCGTCACACCTGGCTCGAGTCCCACGGAGTGGGAGTGCATACAGACCATATAAAGAAGTAGCCATTGCAGCCTGACTCTTAGACAACCAGCTGGCCACTTCACACAGTATTGGGCCGACTGTGAGGTCTAAGTTATGCCGTCAGTTGGCAACCATCCAAACAACGGCTTTTAGCGCATCGTGATAACTTCTGGCGCGTCAGACTGTTTATAGTGGGAAAAATGCGTTGGGTAGACATCCACACTTTCCAGGCCCCAGACACTGTCCGAGCCAGTCAGTTGACAGATGCGGGGAATGGGAGCGGTGGCTGGCATGGCCTAGTGCCTTGTCTGCGAGCGCCGCATGCTCGACCTGACCCCCCGAACACAAGCACCAGGGTTTCGCACAACGGGGTTGAGTGGCATACATCTAGTATGCGTGAGAGCGCCGTAGGTCACGTTAAGGAGCCGTTTCAGCCTGACTCACAGCCCACTAGTCCTCTGCTCCACACATACAAAAACAACTGGGAAGACTGTGAGGACAGAGTTGGGACGTCAGTCAGCAGCCTTCCAAGCTAGAGCGCTTGACGTGCGGTGATAGCTTCACATTCGAATCGCACATGCTGTAGTGGCCGCATAGAGAAGGAGCCGAGACGCACACTTCCCATCTGAGTGGGAGGTGGCAAATGGATGTTTGTGGTGGATGATGATGTTGCGTGATGTAGGTGTAGGAAGATGTGATGGTGTGGTTTAGACGGCAGCCGTCGACCACAGGTTTTCGGGAATGCGCATTTGGCCTGATAGACCCATAAGGTGGATGAATGTGCGGGTGCGGTAAAGGCAGTTGCGGTGGCGAAAGTATGTGGATGGTTCAGGTACTGGTTTGCCAGTCTCTGTGCGATGGATTCGCAATGGACCGACCAGGCTGATGTGTGAGATGGATGTTTGAGGACATTGTGGACAGGCAAATTCGACGGTGTCAGTGTCGGTTTCGGAGATGGTGACAGTTGTTGATACTGAACGTGCTGGGCGACGGGGTTTGCGTTGGAATAGGCACGGCAGGTGTGCAATATGTGCTGAGTGTGGCTGAGTCGGTGGTGGTGGGCGTGATGGGCGGTTGGCTTTGGGTTGAGCTAGGCGTGGTGGATGTGCAACAGGCGCAAGGTGTGTCGAGACTGCGGTTAATTCCGCTCTCGGGGATACGCACGTGACCGAATAGACCCATGCAGTAGGTGAAGGTGCGATGGCAGTGTGGACAGTGGAGGCGAATGCGGCTAGTGTAGTTTGGTGGTCTAGGCACTGGCCCGATAGTCTCTGCGCAACAGATTCATAAGTGACCGACCAGACCGATGTGTTAGGTGAAGGTGCGATCGCTATGATGTCAGGTGTGGATTGAGTCCAAATTTCTGGCGTTATTGGTTGAAATTTGGTATTTGTTTATGTGGTAGGAGTGTATGCGGTGGTCGTGGGTACAGCGCTAACAGTAACAGATGTTGACGTAATAGATTAGGAGGAGGAGCATGAGGAGAAGAAGAAGAAGAAGAAGAAGAAGAAGAAAAAAAAGGGCGGTAGTGGGAGTTCGGGAGTGCGGTCAATGTTAGTTGTCCGCGTGGGGAACGAGGCAGAGTTTGATGGGGTGAAAGCGGTTGGTGTAATCCGGATGCTGCAGTTTGTACAAAGATGTCCTACAAGGCCCATTGGTGCCCGGGACGCCCGCTGGCAACGTAGGCAGGTCGAGGGCGGTTGATCGTTGATGTTGCGGGGTGGACGCATTTGAGACTTACAAGCCTCATGTTTGACTTTGACGGCGGTAATGCGGGTGGCTTCGTTGACCTCTGTGCCTGTCTTCGTTGTACTCCCCTTAGTCGGTCGGTCTCGAGCAAGGTGTTCCCAGTTGGCCGAGTTGAGATGCAGACTCTTCAGGGAGGTCTTTAGAGTGCCCTTGTATAGACGGACTGGGCCTCCTTGGCGGCGGGAACCTGTGCCGAAATCTCCATAGAAGAGTCGTTTAAGTAGCCGCTCGTCGTCCACCTGCACGAAGTTGCCTCTCCAACACAGTTACAGTTGTCTCGCCTGGCGTCGATGTTGAGAATTCCCATCCGCTCCAGTACGTCAGTGTCGGGGATCCGGTCCTGCCACCTTAGATTCAGTATCTGTCGAAGACAGCTGAAGTGGAAGTGATTGAGTCTCCGCGCCTGCTTTTTGTAGACCGTCCAGGTATGAGCTACATACAGCAGCGTCGGCGCGATGACTGCCATGTACATTTTCAGTTTGGTGTTGAAATGAAGACCGTGGCCATTCCAGATTGTGCTTCGCAGACGGCCGAAGGTTTCGCGGCTTTGGAAATCGGGCAGGCCACTTAATCGTCGGTTTTGGTGGTGCGGGAGAGGTTGATGCCCAGGAATTTGAAGTTGTTTACGACTTACATTTGGACTCCGTCCATGTTGATTTGGGGTGCGACGTAGGCAGCCTCGGGTGTCGGTTGATGCGTGGCCACGGTTTTCTCCGTGTTGATGATCAGGCCGGAGTCGTTACGGGCGGCAGCAAAGAGGTCCACTCTCCTTCGCATATCTACTTCAGCGGTTGCATTGAGGACGCAGTCATCGGCGAACAGAAATTCGTGAACGGTGGTTGTGAAGACACACGATTGAAAGTGCATCCTTCGGTAGTTGAGCAGTTGACCATTCCTCCTGTGGGCGATGCGGTTCTCGGGGCGTTCATCACAGCAGGCGTCCCTCAACATGGAAAGAACATGAGACTTAAGAGGGTAGGCGCGAGAACTCGGCCATGCTTAACTCCGCCGGTTACTGTGAATGCCTCTGAGACAACTCAGTTGTCTGTGATTCGCGTCATCATGCCATCGTGAAGATGACGTACCATTTGAGTGAATCGTTCGGGACGGCCGAATTTCTGTCTAGTTTTTCACAGTCCTTCGCAATTCGCCGTGTTGAAGGCCTTCGTCAGATCCACGAAGGTCGAGTAGAGGTGGATCCGCATCTCCTGGCATTTTTCCTGCAGTTTATGAGTGGAGAAGATCATGTCGGTGGTTCCACGATTACGGCAAAAGCCGCACTAACTTTCCGGCAGGAGACCCAGTTCCAGATGGCGGTTCAGGCAATTGAGAAGAATGCGAGCGAAGATCTTCCCGACGATTTTCAGCGAGGATATGCCTCGGTGGCTGTCGCAAATTTAGCGGTTGACTTTCCGCTTGTGGAGACAGACGATCTAGACTTCCTTGAAATTCTGCGGAACGTCTTCTTGACGCCACATCTCCCAGAAGAGAGCCGTAAGATGAGCAGCCGTGCACGTAGATATCAGCAGGCTCAGGCGGTTGTCGATGCCCCGTGGCAGACAGGGCAGTCGTTCGACGATGTCGTTTCGGGTGACAAGGGCGACGCCCGCCTCCAGTCGCTCTGCCCTGGGACAACCGCTCTAGCCGGCACCAACATCCTCCATTTGGCCTTGTTCGGAGAAACGGGTCTCGGTGAGTGCGGCCATGTTCAATTTGTAGCTCGCCAGTTCCCGAGCCACTAGCGTCGTCCTCCGTTACGGTTGGTTGCTCCTCAGATTGTTTAAAGGGGAAGGGAAATTCCAGGCTGCTATATAGAGCGGACTCACCCTATTGGTCTGACGAGTGGGTTGGCGGAGAGGAGGGGAAGAGTGTGGTGTCTCTGATTTGTTTGTTTTGACCGTGAGTTTTGCGTCTGTGGCCACAGTCAGCCTGCGGATGGCGTGAATCCCAGCATTTGTTCAGGGCACCTTTTCTAGCTCCTTCCATCACGCGATGCTGAGCAGTTCTCGCCCTAAATAGGGCTGTTTAGTTGTCCCAGACGGCTGCTGAACTCCACTATGAGCCGCGACATATGTTTATTTTTGAGAACGACCCGAGTTAGCCTAAGCATGCCTACGACAACGCCGTAGGATTTGAAATGGTTGGTGGTGGGGAAGGGTAGAGAGGCGGGATGCAGAGCTTCCCTGTTCCTCTCAGAACTAACTGGTTGGTGAAATTTAAACGGTGTGCAGACAAATTCAACATAACAGCATTTGGCTTACAATAAGGTCAAAAACAAATAAGCGGACAGGAAGTAAGTAAGCAAGAACAAGCAATGCAAAGACGGCAGAGCAATGTTCGCTCATCTGGGAGCTTGAAGCGGCACAGCAGACAGAATATGTGCAGCATCTGAGCTACAATCGTCAGGCCAAATTCCACGTTTGAAGGGAGAAGACAAAGGGGACCTGAATAAGGGGTTTATTGTGCACAGAACCCGGGAGTTGTCCTCTCAGGCGACAGTGGTCACTGGCGAAGCCAGGTCTGGTGTTGACTGCGTCCAGTCAGGCCTGAGAGTCCTTGAGATAGTGGTGGCAGCCGCTTTTGTAGGCTCGTGGGCCAAGCTCAAGTGGTGTCCAGTCAGCGTGTGTTGCATTTGCCGAGGGGTGGTGTCCCAGTGGCTTGTTTTGCTGGTTGCAGGGGGTGGCGCGTTCAAGTGGCCGCATAGGCAGCTGCGACTGCGCGGACGCAGGTATGCCCGAGCTGTTGGTTGTGTGACTTCAGGTCACCGCGTCTGGGACGACTCGCTGCAAGGGATGAATGACCTTGAGGCAGCGAGGTCTGGAACAATGACGCCAGACCGGTCATTATGTCTGGCTGTTACAAGCTCACATAACTTGTGGGATCCTACGGTGTTATCCATCCGACCAGCGGAACCGAGTTACCGTGTGCGGAGCTGCACACACGGATACCCTCACCTGGCATAGTCCGCCGGTCGAAGTGGTTACCGGAGCGTGGCCGTAAGGCCCAGCCTAGCTTTGGGGAGCAACATGTGGGAGTTGGGAGCCTGTAAATATACGCTAGGCGTAGTGTGCACCTGTAAGCGTGTGAGCGACCTACTACGACCGTCACATGGACCCCTAACTGGCATCCCTACACCCCTTTCTCCCGCTATACACTGATTCTCATTCGCATGGAGCTCCATATCCTCACTGTTACATTCCTCGTCGATTGACACAGCGAGCGATTCGTGTTTGCGCACGTTTTTCCTTTTTACTGAAGTCCTGGAGAGAGCGGTTTCATATTTTTAAGCAAATGACTAGGAAGGTTTCTTCTACTTGTCCATCTCTATTTTAAGCCCTCTACCCCCGTTCTAATTTCTAAAAAAAATTTGAAGGACTCCGAATCATGTCGTACAGGCTCAGTCTTCGAAGTAAACATCCACCCATCTTATTGAATTCTTTGTTTGTTTGGCGGGAAGTGACCTGATGTTAGAATATACGGAATTGCAGTCATTTTTACCAAGACTAATATTTATTCCTTACTCCCAGGATGTCCTCTGCGCATCGATATTCTTGTTGTGACCGCTTTGGTAATTACACCAGTGCTGAGGTTCGATTCCGACTTGTGGTTGGTTTTTAATACAGTGCTATAAGTACGTATCTTCGACATCCATTATTAAATGAAAGAACCTGGAACGTGCGCAAATGTATTAGACAAAGTTTCGACCAGATCAACTACATGAAATGAATATTGGAACAAATCGGCCGATCGTAGATTTGGAGAAAATTGTCAAGCGATCAGTAGAGATGATGTTCATTCTATTGAGACCCACTTGTAAATTTGTGAGGATGAGGGTATGGCTGGACCAAACCCAATTTTAATTCGTGGCAGACTCTAAAAGCGGACAGTGGAATGAAATTCCGACGGGAGTAAATTTCCCGGGGGTTGAAAATTCGAAAAAAAAATTTGTTTGCTTATTGATCGTTGGCTTCCTTCTCAGACACTGAAGTATTTGGCTTGGCCAATTTTTCTCCGCTTCCCACAATGAGTATATTTTTCTCCGAGTTGCGGCGTTGACACCTGAACATCGGCATCCTGAACATTACTATGCACACCCTTTTACGGACCCCCGTTGAGCGTTTGAAAGCTTAATGAGGCTTTTATAAATGTCAATTAATGGAAGGTAATACCAATCAAAAACAGGGAATTAGATGGTGAAATACTGACAGTAGATATTAAAATGTTGTGCACGAGTAACACCTCTATTTCAGATCACTTCAGTATATAGACAGAGCCTCGGAACCCCTATTCAGTTGTTTGGTCACAATAGTTTTACTAGAGGGCACTATGGAAACAGACTAAACATTGAGCCAATTGGTAAAATCAGACAATGTGGACAGTAATGGTCCGCGCGAACGGCCAGATGTACAGTAAAATCGGAAATTGTGCTACATTAAGTAGCCAAAGCCTTTCATGACCACCAGCGGTTTGTCTTTTCATATTCGATGCTTTTAACAACAATAATATCCTAACCTTTGTGAAACACATAATTCTTGGACTGGGAAAGCTCGATATTTCTGGTTGGAGGTCGTGAAACACCCAACCACGCTCGAAGAAGCAAATACGTGTGGATAAGCTAATTTGACCGGAACGTCTTAAATACCTAGTGGTTCTTTTCAAAGTTACCGAGAAAGCTGGTCAATAAGGATGAGAAAATTAAAAGACCACTGAGTTTGTATTAACATAAATTAAAAACCCTTCTTTTAAAGCAGATAGACTATTTGACGATCCCAGTATTAATTGGAAGGGCATTCCAAGGGAAGTTGTACGTGGAAGCAAAGAATAGTGACTGCATAGAGGCGCAGTCGGGATAAGATATATACAAGGAAGATTATTTCTTTTTAATTTCCTCAGAAATTAATTGTCACTTTGGAGTGGATTAATTTATATTGGGGTCTATATGCGCAGACCGAAATTTGGCGCATGAATATTTGGGCTGAAGTCAATCAGCCACAGTAGACTGACGTCGACATGCAGCTAGTAGTATATGCTGGTAGGGAACGGACAAGATTTGAGTCAAAACTACTCAGAAATATCCCGTAAAATTTCGAAAAATTTATAAATACGTAAACAAGACGAAATGCAACCGAGACTGCATTTCCTGTCCAAAAGATTGACAAGGAATTACGTTGTCTGATAATTCAGAGAGCGGGAACCTGTTATCCGATTTTTTCATGTCTCTGTATACCGAGAAGCAGGCTTTTAATAAAAGAGTTTACCCCCAATTGTCAGATCAAAAAGTACAAGTAGCACGGTGGACTTCAGAACAGACAAGGTAAGGACAACTTCGAGTCAACTACAACCCACTAAATCGCCTGGCCCGGACGGCGTACTCGCAAAAGTTCTGAATGAATTCTCAGACCAATTGGTCTCTCTGCTATCTAAGATCTTCCAAACCTCGACAGAGACCGGGGCTCTGCCTACCGACAGGAAGAAAGTAAATATAAGTCCCATATATATAGATGGCGAGTGAACATAGGCAAATAATTACAGACCAGTAAGTCTCATAAGCATCAGTTACAAAATGATGGAAAAGGTAATAAAAACGGAGCTGATGCGGCATCTTAAAAAAACTTGCTCAGTTTGCATCAGTATGGATTTATAAAGGGTCCATCCTATTTCACTTGCCTCCTAGTATCCATGAAGAGCTGGAAGAAATCAGTCGACATGGGCTTATCAGTCGACGCCGTGTACATTGACTTCAGAAAAGCTTTTTGTAGCGTTCCACACAGACGACTTATATGTAAAATACGTCAAAAGGCCGTGAATAGTAATCTACTGAAATGGTTAGTTAATTTTCTTACGGGCAGATCTCAGCGTGTGTGTGTGTGTGCTTCCTCTACAGCTGACACCGACACCGCCGACCTCTCATGCCCACATTGTCCACACACCTTCACCTCACGCATCGGCCT